AAAAGTTTTGATATGCTGCATCATCTAGATTGAGCGTATGATTGATAGCATTGTTGAAAAATTAACAGTTTTGATATAATGTATCAGCCAGATTACGAAGCATCGATCATATTATCGATAGCATTGTTGTTAAAGACGAATAAACAGCTGTTCATTTTTTAATCCTTCATGCAGTAGCACATTAATATCCCATTAATAAAGCTGAATAGATGGTATTTTGTTTGTATTAAAATTTTTCGTCCAGATGTTTTTGCCTTTTGTTTTGTAATAGTAATGATACATTATTATTATCCTGCTTTCTTTTCTTAATATTTATTTTTTTTTTCGTTCTTCTTGGTAAATTTCATAAGTGATTTTTTTTTATCTAGATACTCCTGGAGAGTTTGGGCATTGTTGATTTTAAAAACGTATGGAGCAATTTTTTTCACCTTGAGCTTTTTTTAGAATGCTTCTAATTGTGCTGTAATTTTTGGGTTCCATGGTAGATTTAATGTAAATTAGTTTCATATTAATATTTTTTTTTCATATAGACATAATCCTATACCAATCATATTCTAAGTTGCAGTTGTGATAATCAAAATGTCATTAACCAAATTAGTTAAGTTTCAGCCACATTAGCCTCTCATTTATGTTACATAATAGAATGTTCACTTTGTCTGGTTTTGTTGCAGCATGCTCCATATACAGTAACGTGCATAAGTGCGTGTATCAACTAAATGTACATATAATGACCACTTAAATTTCCAAAAAAAGAGTGTATGATAATATACCTGATCATACGTACTTTTATTGGTTTGTAAATTATTTAAATTTTGGGACAGGAATGAGTAAACGCTCCAAATTTTCCCTGCGCATAATGTATCACCAATTCTGGTCACCTGTAAAATTTCAACTTAATCGGATGTCTACAGCATAAAAACCGCATGTGCTACTTCGGCCATAAAGATTCAAAAATTCATATCTCTTTTTTTATTTTGTTTTTCCTGTATTATTAGAATGCGTTTATATAATTTTGAACGGATTACTGTTATGATCGCTATTACAGAATGCATGATGATATTTTCCATGTTTATTATTTCCAAGCATAGTAATAATTTTCTTCTTACATCCCAAGAGATGTAAAGACAGATTTGGCAAACGAAATATAAAAAAATTACAAAACTTTGTTAGAAAAGTGTCGAGATATGAATTTTTGAATCTTTATGGTCGAAATCATGCACGTTATTGTACTGTATATTGTATGTAAAACGGCTTACTATTGGCTAACAAACTTACTACAGTATCAGCATTATTATAAGGTTGTGTACGATAGTATTTAACAATATCAAGCAGTTCCAACATGTGTTGTTTCAAATTCTTCCATGCTACTTCATATACTTATTTTGATGTGCTTGCCAACTTGGTACAAGCATTGTTGTAATGAGTTTTCCTTCATCAACTATCCTCATTCTCAACTTACCATTTTTTGGAAAATAGCCGTGACAGCAGAATCTGCAAAGTTATTTCTCGAATACGCTTTGGTAGCCTAGATATACAAATTGAGGTTATTTGTCAACATTATTGCAACATACAAAGATTGTTGTCCTGTTAAAACGTCCACTTTCCCCCAACTTTATGATTACCTCCGGAAGACGTTTTTCTAATATTTTAATGTAGAATTTACCTTTTTAATGACACGATTTGGATTCAAGTTGGGTGAGTTACATATGTACAAAAACTTGCAATAGTGCACCCAATTCACGATTACATAGTAAAACAAGCTTTCGGCTTTGGAATTAGAATTATCATTTGTATATTTCTTCGGAGCATTCTGTAAAAGCTATATTGGTGATAATTCATCGAAGGTTTTCAGAAAAAAAACGGTCGGTTTTCTAAATAATAACGCGATTTTATACGTAATCATTATCAAGTACACCCATTAATGAGAGTCATGACGGCAGAAACCATCAACAATGACGGGTCTTTTTTTGAACACTAGAGTTCTTATTCTGCGAATATTTGTTACTTCGACAACAGTTGTAAAATCAGAGTTTATATAAATAACGTTTTAATAGAATAGTTATAGATAGAATACATTGTGAACTTACAGACATTATCGACCAGAGCCAGTCAGAATAATGAAACTGCAATTTCATTAAGAATAACTATTTCTAAGAGATATTATCATATATACAATAACCATCTACTCGCAAGGGAACAGAAAGGCTAAATCTCCCAAAGACCCTCAAATACAAAACTACTCTAAGGAAAAAAGCTTGTGTAAGAAAAAAAAACACATTTAAAAAGTTCTATGGAATATACCGCAAGTAATCTATATACGAATAAAAGTACACTAGTTAATCTTTTCCTTGTACTGCCGGTAGGTAGCTCATCAAAGAAGTTCCAGTGTGTAATTACCGTTGTGTTCAGCTTCGATTCATATATTTCGCACCAACTCGAAACACCTTGAACAGAATTTTTCTGTTAATTCCTCAATTTTCCTCATCAACGAACGACAAGTGCCAGTAACTAATCCATGTTCTCCTTCTAACACAACGTCTTATACTACTGCTAGGCGATGCTGTCCATACGTCATCATCAAAATCCCTGGCATATTGCCATCCTTCCGCATCTAATTGTGACCCGTTCATGTCTATCACCCAGTCAAAAAATCTGATCCATCCTAAAAGCTTATACGACAATACTAAATCCGTTTTCGTCGTGGACTCTCCGCTCGGAAGTGACCATGGTCCACAAGTATCACTTGGTAAAAGTGCCGATTCCGAGAAGCAACGTGAACCTCGAAAAATGTAACTTGATGGCGCACGCTGATTCTCATAAAGTACTAATAGTTTTCCGTTATGCACTGACGCTAATTAATCACAGAATGAGTAATCTGTATTAGTCAAATGTACTATATTATAAATTATGACATGATTGTATTAAGCTTACGGGGTACGCTATTTCTTTTCGACCATTCGAGTTCTCTCTCCTCCAACATCTCACACAAAGGTCGGTTTAGACATTTAGCAGCAATATCATATGCTGTGTCTTTGTACGCATTCTCGATACACGGGTTTGCATTCATTTCCAACAAATATTCTATAATCTCCAAATGTCCTTGTGCTGTAGCGTTCACTTAGGAGTAAAAGAATATGATTATTGCAGACAAGCAAATAGTATCACATGTTTTTGCTCACAAATTACTATTATTTTTCTAAACTTACTCAAAGAGGTGAACCCTTTGTCATTCTCCACGTTGATGATGGTGTTTGTATGTTGAAGTAGATGCATCACGATCCGAAGATGGCCTTGTGCCGCAGCATTATGAAGTGCGGTCCATCCATCAGAGTCTTTCCGATTTACTTTAGCCCCACGCTCAAGCAAGAAAGATACTATGCATGCATGACCTCTGAACGAAGCTTTCAGAAGCGCTGTCTAATACATATAAGGTAAGCCGCTTGAGTATTTATTGATAATCAACATCTTCTCCTCCTTCCCCTCCTCATTCGCCCATTCCCCCAACTTTTCATATTCAGATCATTGCTTACTTCTCCAGTAAAATCTTCCAAATCCACGACAGCGCCTGCAGTATCGACAAGCCATTTCACCACTTCGTAGTGGCCTTTGGAAGCCGCATAGTGCAACGGAGTGAGGCCAGTAGTCGTTTTCATATCGTTTGCAAATAGAAATAAATCTTCGGAACGCCCTTCGCTATGAAACTCGAATAGTTCTTGTACCCTATGTAAGTCCCCAACAGCAGATGCCTCATGTATATCCAACTCTTGATTAATGAGGTGATATGCTTCTCTCCTATTGTTCGACGCATCTTTCCCACACTTCATATGACAGCATGTTTCGAAACAAGCGTCAATTCTCTGGCACGACTCGAGTCTCAAAATCAAATTGAGCAAATAAATAGGTTGTGCACAGATAAAGGCTGTTCTCGATTCGATAAGATGATCCAATGCAAACTGAAGAAGTTCATTAAGATTCAGTTCGTCGGATGCTAGCAGCAATTTGAGAATAGTAGAGTCGTCGCATTCTGTTATGTTTACATGCCCTGTATACAAGTATCTGCAACACCACCAAAAAATAGAATATTGGTACTTTTATTTGATGATAATGACATGAGAATCTCCACACTTACTTTAGAACGATCTCAAAAACCTCAGGTTCAATGTTCGGCTTTTCAAAATAGTAACATTCATCGGTCTTTCTAAGCCATTGTTCAGATAATGCAACTTTAAAGTAGCTCGATCGAATTGCTAGTATCAAAGTATGCGCTTTGAATTGCTTTCTGTTTTCTCCTTCACCAGCATGGATAATTAAATCACACTTTTCTCCATTCTGTAATGTTTTGGCAAAATCAGAAGAAAGCTGAGAGTAGAATTCGCTTGACATCTTTAAAAAGATAAGGATAACATTAAGGTTTGTCCTCAGACAAAAATAAACAAATTTTGTTCATCGATATGACACAAACACCTAATTAAACAATTGTGTATCTTGTAATCATATAAATAAAGCGGCCGAGCCAGTATTTCGAGTCTAATATCGGATAGAGCTCCTTGAGCATTTTTAGGCAATTGTTGAAGTGATCCTATAACAGAGAGTGTAATCTTTAGTATAAAATTCCCATGCAATTAAAAAACTCGGTTACAAAAAACAGTGGACGTGGGAAAAAAAGTTTAAAATTTTTTTCACCAATATAAATACTAGTGTATCATAGCACATATATGGCTTAGGAACACACGCTAATCTTAATTGTAACGTCTTTAATAAAACCGACACGTTAACAGACAAGTGGCGCAGAGAAGTCAACTTGCCGTTCAAATGCAATTAAAGAGCGTTACTTTGACCGCATTAGTGAGATACTCCCATAACGTCAAATATTATATAAGAAAATTGTTATTACTATTATATGCTATAAATTAACTGTTTTTAAATATAAAGTAACGCTTTTTTAATTCAAAAATAGAAATTCCGTTATATTCGTATGAGAGTAAACATTAACAGGACTTCCCTCTAGGTAATAACTACAAATTATGAAAGGCCGTGAATACCTTACGCGCAATTGAGTTTTCAGTATGGAACATTGCTAATATAATTATATACTAACAAACTTTTCAAAATCCAATGTCTTGAAAGATTCAAACTTTATGTTTTGTTTAGTAATGAGTATTTACGACTTGGTAAGCTGCACAATATGAGCAAATATATTGTACAGTATAACACAAACTTTGAATAACGCTTGAGGCAAGTTTTTATTATTAAATACTAAATCTATCAACTATGGACGCCACATAAAACATAATTGGAGTTCGTTCTCTTTTTTAATGCTTAACGATCGATCGCCGATTCAGCCATACCTTACTATTAAATTTTGATTTACTGTATATATCCCATTAGAAGCTCGTTTTACTTCATACGGCTAATGAGATAATCGGTGTTAGTTAGTCAGAAGGACTTTAAACAAAGACAATAATATACTAATACGTTTTTCTTAATTGAAAAATATTATTATTATTAACCAGATCTTGGATCACGAGAAATTCGCCAATATCGTCCAATCAATGATCACTCGCACAGAATTTCGTCCTGATGGCTCTCTCCGCGACCGAGACTCCTTCTGTAGCGGAAATAAATTTACGTCGACTATTAGCTGTTTGCGAAAAACAGGCTGCCGAGGAAGGATTGACTCGTGGGTCCAATAAGCTCAAATTTGTTACTGTATGTATACTCATTGTCATCAAAATGTCGACAAACGATCCTAATTGTAGTGATTCTCAATAGAATATAAAACATCTCGTGAGGTTACTGGATCAAGTCGAGAAGGAAGAAACCAAGTATGTTTAGTCAAACGGAGTGTGTTTTTTTGTGACCTATTTTGAATTCTTTTTTTTTTCGTTTGGGCAGCTTAGACAAAACAGCTGTAAGCGAATACTCACGAAAGATCAGACGACTAAACGACATTTGTGATGAATTTAAATTGGTAATTATGCGAATGTTTTATATCGATTAAACTGTTTGTTAGAAAACTTGGCATTTGTTTTCTATCGTTCTCGCTTTCGATTCACTGTTACTTACTGTTTGCATCGTAGATATCGCCAATAAATCGCTCTGATTCTCAGGCACGCTTAGTAAAGCACGCCCAACAGTCACAGAGTGAGAAGAACAAGGAAAATGAATTGGAGCTGAAAATGGTCCGGCAAGCTGAGAAAGAGTTAAAAGATGAACTATTACACGTATGTATACGATTACAACAGGTATTACATTGCAATCATTTAATAATGTGTTCTAATGCACTACTGGATTACTTAGTCTCGCCGAACGCGTGGCCTTGGTATAGATTTTGACAATTCTCAGTCATTGCAAGAGAAGCGATTGGGTATGTTTTTATAGTCTGCTACCCCCACACAGCAAACTTTGCCATCCATTACATTAGTATGTTGCTTTAATGAATGGTTTTCATTATCAAGATCTCTTCTCATCGGCAATTTCCAACCGTCGCAAGAACGCTCAAGAGACGTCAGATGAATCAACGTCAACTCAATCCGTACTACAACACCACCGACAAATTCAGTCAGAACTGACGGATGATCTAGTCTCTCTTGCTGAACGTCTGAAAATGAACTCCCTTGCATTTGGAGATATTCTTGTGCGTGATGAAAAGGTCATTGACGATGCGCAAACAGTCGTGAACAGCAATTTAGATAGGTTACGGAATGAGGGCGGACGGTTGAGGCAGTATACGTTGCAATCGAGAAAGACTACCTGTTTTGTTTGGGTAGTGGTAATATTTGTATGTGTGGTGTTTGTATTAATGTTTATGCTTATTAGAGTCTTTCCTAAATATGGTTAAAAACGTGTACAACCGAGGCGATGCAATCGGAGAAAAGAAAAAGTTTATTGTATTATTAGTAAGGGGCATGACAAACACATAATCGATTATTATTGCGTTCGTTGAACGTTAATTATCTATAACTAATTATTAACAATTAGAATAATGTAAAAAAAGGGCTAAAAACGATAAATAAACCAATCATCTAATTATGACCGTTTACATTAATGAAAACGCAAACTCTATACGTATCAGTGTCTTATTGTCTTGTCAATACTCGGCTGCTTTCTTAATAGCTTCAAAACACCGGGTCACGTCGGGCAAGTAAAACTTCTCAAACACAAGCGGGAATGGGGTACTACAGGGATAAAATATAAATAAATTTATACAGCAACATAGACTGTTAGTCTCTGCAATCCACCATTCCGCAATCCTAATCAGACTAGGATATACTTACTCCCATCCACAAACTCTCTGTATCGGCGACTCTAATCTCAGAAAACATCTCTCCATCACACTAGCCGCAATCTCGGCTCCAAATCCAGCGGTCTTTGGTGCTTCATGTGCAATGACCAACCGACCCGTTTTATCTACCGATTTTGCAACGGTGTCAACATCCCACGGAAGAATTGTTCGAAGGTCGATCAATTCGCACGAGAGTCCGGGAATATGTTTCTCAGCCATCTGAATGGCTATTTCGAGGGTGTAGATTTGAGATCCATATCCAACTACGGTGACGTCCTTGCCTCGTTTGAGCACTTCTGCTTTGCCCAAAGGGAGTTCATAATCGCCTGTTGGAACTTGTTCGACTGGGCAAAACATATACATTGAGTGATGACCGTACCAAACAAAGAAAGCACGAGCAACGGATATATTGCAAAACCGTTAACGTTCCGACATGGCATATCATATCCACTGATCAAAAACATATATTTTCAAGTTTCATGATGTCAATTATTACCACAACCCATATGGGACAAGAATTGGCTGCTTGTATTCGTATTAATATTACTTTTGATCAGTGGACCTCTATTATCACTATAACCGCCGTTATACTCATAATTACCAGCTGCACGGTAGAGAATCTTTGGTTCAAAAAATATCACCGGATTAGGATCTTTTATTGATGCCAGTAAAAGACCCTTTGCTTGTATGGGACTTCGTGGAATTACGACCTAAATCATAATAACAAGCATTATTCCACTAAGCATCAAAACCCTACCGACATCTTCCATAAGATCAACATACTTTGAGTCCAGGCGTGTGTGCAAAGTATGCTTCGGGCATTTGCGAATGATAATGTGCACCATGTCCAACTGCTGAACTGGGTGATCGCACAGTTAAACCGCCAATGCTGAATTCATTGCCGCTGCGATAACGATACTTTGCCGCTTCATTGACTAACTACCATTTAAACAAGAGTATTTGTTTTAGACGTGTGCGACACAATAAATCGTAAGATACACTAGATTAATAATATAGACTAATCAAGCATACGTTATTTCCTGACATACTTGATCAAATGCGGGAAATATGTAATCTGCAAATTGTATTTCGGCTATAGCGGTATGGCCCACCGAAGCCATACCAATGCCAAAGCCAACTATTCCTTGTTCGGAAAGCGGGGTATTAAAAACACGATCTTTACCTAGAGGAATTGAAAAACGATGAATGGGTGGTGATATGAATCGATAGCGCAATGACTAATGAATTACCAAACATTTCTGCCAGTCCCAGAGTGCATCGAAATACGCCACCAAATGAAACATCTTCTCCAAATACAACTATAAAATAAAAGTACGGTTAATACATTACTGTTCATTGCGAGTATTGTCATGGCTACCAATAATGAATCAACCACCCCAAAAAAGAACAGACATACCAGCTGTTTCGTCTGTTGCCAACGTTATACACATGGCATCATTTACTCCTTGAAGAAAATTCATCTTCTTCGTCTCTCCTACGACACACATTCGAAATTCGTATCAGGCTATGAACTGTTATCTCAAGAGCCCTTCTTCCCTTTGGTTCACATGAAAACACATATCACCTCCGACAACACCAGTATCAACCAACTCTGGATTTTTCAGAGCTTCTTCGTGAGTATGCTTTAACAGTTTCGAACGAGCTAATCCGGGCATAAATCCCTCGGCAGGTGCTGGCGAACTTTCTCTGCATACTCTTGAAAGGTGAAAAGACTAAGTGTTGGGGTGTTTATAAATGATTGTTATGAGTGTGATACCCAAATGGAAAATTGCGCACACTAGAGAACGCTTTGATATATACTCTATTACTGTTTATCTTCCAACAGTTGGCTATGAATGGTCTGGTTGCAGCACGAAATGAACTCATTTTTTCCAAGAGAAAGGGATCAGAATTCTGATCGTTGTGACAAAAGCAATTATTCGTTATTGTCCCGCCGATATGGAAATGGAAACTGGGTTACCCGATTTGAAAACGCACGTGATTATCCAGATTAAATTCTCTCAAAGTCATTATTAATTAACGTTAACAATATTATCAATTTCGTATTATCGTGTGATTTTTTGTCTGTCAAGCGTTAATAGATTCGACTTTGGTAGAGATAAATTCCAACAACTCGCAATATAATTGCTTTTCTAAAAAACAATTAAAATTCCAGTCACATGAACTTCTTTTTGCTTTTACGATGCGTTCTTTAAGCGGCCATTAAGTGGGTGGGTCAACATTATTGTATACGGTTGGGTAATGTGTAACCCGTGCGCGACTGGTTTCGAAATGAGAATATAATGTGTAATCGAATAATGCTCGTCGTTATTAACGTTAAAAGAATTATCTTTAAGTGGCGTAAATTCCCCCGAGTTTTGGTGCACTGAAGTTGCTACGTGACTTACTGTCTCCCAACATTATGTAAATGCCTAAAGTTTATGAAGCTGGTAATGAGTTTGATGATAATCGTTCCTGAAAATGCATGGTTACATTCGAAGCTTTACTACAAATTTCATTCAGGCAAGATTTGCTTGCATCGTGATTGGGCATTGGATAAAGTCTTGATAGACTTCATGACAAGGATGATCCCACGCCTGCTTGATTGAAGAAACCCCTGTAAGAACGAAAACGCTAGTTCATTTCACTGCTTATCGGTAGTATTACGCGAGTGATGAATTCATCAATCCACTCATATCCCTTTACGATATATTGCCGCATAGCCTTACGGCCCGTAACGATGCAAGTTTAACAGCATCTAACAACGCAAATAAAACACAAGTGTGCTAACCGTTATATCAACCGTGCGAAATTGATTCGCCCATTCCTAACTTCGGGCCAAGAATCTGAGCAAATCGGTAGTTTAGAGATTTATTTCAGAGCAAGAGTTAGAAACTCGTTGTTTAAACATACTGGCTAGTTCTAAGCTATGATCGACAATAAAGAAACGCCTCCTTAAATCGTTGCTAGATATCGATACTAATTGTTATTATTATTAGCGAACAAACTATAACTAATAACATTTTTAACAATTAGAATTTAAATTTCATATTATTGTTATATTAATTCCCATTTATCAACCAAAGACTGCTTCTGGTTAAAGACAAGAGGTAAAAAAGATTTGATTGCATCCTCCCTTTTTAAGTCTGTCTTTTCGTCAAACATACTCCATTGAGTATCAAGTGGCCAAGGACGAGTGAAAAGTATTTTAGATAGTCTTTTCCCAATTTCATCGTCACAGCATTTGAAAGATCTGACGCCTTGAATGTATATAATTCGATCATAATCGTTCTTAGTAATCTGATCGTCTTTTTTTTCTGTAGTTTTTGATCGCGTTTGCGGAACATTTCTACTCTTTAGTTCTGCTTTTGCTTCAACTGCTTTCTCTCTGTCTAAGCCGAGATCGATGTAGATGCCTAGAATCTTATAATCTTTCTTCCATTCGCCAAAAGAATTTAATGGGTGTATTAAAGAGGAAATATCCTTAGCACCAAAGGTTGTTTTTTTCGCGTTCTTGTTTTGAATTGAAATAATACCATAGCCAGCATTATACCTAAAAGGAACGATATGATCAATTACTTGAAAACCTAATGGCATTTTGAAAGCAGTGTGACGGTGATAAGCTTCTATGACAAGATTCTCTGATAGAAACTTCACCCCTCCAAATTTCACATAATCTTGATTGGTAGCTGACAAAGATGTCCAATGGTTGAAGCCGATTTCCGCCTCACCAATACCCATGCTTTTGAATAACTCATCGAGGCCATCTATTTCTTTGCATAATAAGAACTTTAAAAATGATTTCAGAGAAACTTTTTGCAAATATGTTAATGGTGAATTAGGGTAGTATTCCTTCACAGCATCTGCATATGCTTTCAAAAATAGGATGCGATTGACCAGTTCTCCTCTTTCCTCCACTTCTACAACCCCACGACTAAACAGTTCCAACAGTGTGTCCAAGCAATTTTCCCAACCAACATCAATAATACCTTTAAGTGCTCCGGATGCAAGGATGGGGTCGGAAGGATATGTACAAAGAATACTTGTACGATCAAGTGAGACTCCTAATGCAGTTGCCATATGGGATGCTACCAGGCTGTCTGCTTCTGCAATCCGAGGGGAAATGTCAAGAGACAGAGAGCAAGCCATACATGCAAGGTTTGCAAGATAATCATTGTTCTTTTTGCTAAAATTGCGGATTTTTTGTGAAGCTAGATGAACGACGTGTTTAAGACTAACACCGGCTTGAGCAAGGGAACCCCAAAGTGGTATTCCTAGATAAACAACCCTTTCATAATTATATTCGTTACCAACATTTTCAGCAAGCGATGCTAGTACATCCATGTTGTTGACATCCAAATACGCGGGAAATATAATGAAATCATGTGATCTGGCGGAGGTGGTGTCTTTTGTCACTGGAGGGAGGAAATTGCCAATCTTCCCACTTGTACTGAGAAGAATATTAAAGAACCCAACCCATGAAATTTCTCGAATTTGTCGTCTCCATTGAATAAAATCACCTTTTGCCTTTGTAAGCAATTCATGTGCCTCGTCGATACAACAAACTATAGGTATTTCCGTATCGGGAAATAATTTCTTTACAAAATTTTCGTTGCCGTAATCTGATGTAATATTTTTTTGTTGTAATAACGATTCAAAGACACTTTGCCAGAATTCCTTACACTCAGTTTTGTGATCATCTTTGATTTGAATATTCCAAAACTCCTCTGCGCTCCAGTTTTTACTTTTAATTTCTTTGATCGCTGTAAATAAAAGAGCTCCGAATTTATAGTCTCGAATTGTTTCCAGAATTTCTTCAACGTAAGGTGTTGATGCAGGATACCCAGAACTACTCTCATGTCGTTTACAAATGTACAGGATATAGGTCCCCTTGGTTCTCAGCTCCCCAACGAGTCGTGTTTTACCAGAACCAGAGCTTTGGATGATTGTTAGGTAAGGGGCGTATGGTTTTATCTGCCGACACCATTCAGTATGAAATTTTTTTAGTCGCAAATAGAAAGTTTCCAAGGTTGTTCCTTGGTATTCGACTTGAAATGCGACTTCAATACGATTTGATTCATTATTACTCACACCTGTAAAATTATAAGATGTACAGCGTAATAAGCGGGACGGGTTAATAAGAAAGAATTATTGTTTAGTAACGCAAAGCGCCAATAGCCTTAACCATGAATTCTTACTTTCTTCTCCTTTCTCTCCGTACAAGCTCTCATCATCTAACGATGATAAATGTCAGAAATAAGCATGTATATTTCGAAAGATTCAGATGCAATCATTTCACACATACCATTTCCCCCGATTATAATAATCACCAATGCCTCATCTTCTGTATTGTATAAATCAGCAATAGATGTACTGGCTTTCAAGATATCCTTTCCTTTGCGAAGGCGAATCAATTCTTCTGAAAAGTCTTTAAGAGATTGCAATTGATCTTTGATCAACCTTTTGAGATCATCTAAGTCATGTATGTTTTTCTTCTCCAGTTCTTCTTGTCCAAAGAAGACAGCATCATAATTCCTATAACGAACCCATATTTTTTTATCTTTTTTGGGCAATATTGCAGTTAGATATGGAATGTAGTATTCAGGCATTTCGTAATAAATGTATGGGACTGCAATTAACGTGCAACGTTAATAGCAAGATGATATTTAAAGCTATACTAACAGTGAGGGTGTGGAGTTTGAAGGCGTATGTTGTAATTACCTTTGCCTCTGCTTCTTTTAATAAGTTCTTTTGAATTTAATTTGATAAAAGCTAAAAATGTTTCAAGTTCTCCATCTTCAAGTTCTAGTTCATCTTGACTTGCTTTTAGAAAATTTACCGCTGATGCGCGGTCCCTTACTTGTAATGTTGGAACGTAATTTGCATTTGAAGTGGACATTGTGTTACTGAATAATATTCGCGGAGAGCCTGAGAAAAAAATATATTAGGAGCGACTCTTCGATAACACGGCTTTCTGTCACTTGTTATGTTAACACGCACGCAAAGGGAGGCAGCGAATGTTGGCGTTTTCATTGTGAATATATTGTACGACAATAAACGTAAAAGTAACACAATATGGTGTTGGTGTTGCCATAATTTGTACCTATTGCTATTGGCTATTGATGAAGACGTCGGTGCAGTAATTTTTCTTCGGATTGGCGGGTTGCTTTATATTCAGGTCTTTATTTTTGGCAAAAAAACTTCTTGAATAATTTCTTTTGTCTATCATTTCTTTCCGTTGAATCACGAGTTGACGCTTGTTGCGTAATAGAAAGCGGAATATCAATATAAAATTTCTATTGGGCTTAGAACATTACACTATAGACAGATTTGTTAACTATAGACAGCGTCAACTGTAAAGCTCTTATCTATAGTACTGCTTCCATATACACTGCCTACAATAAATTACCGGATTTCACAAAACTTTACTAGTAAAACATATGAAAAGTCTTTCTTTTCAAAAATATCTCCTACCCATGTATGCTATGCAAATGACAACAGTTTTTGTATAATTTTGAAGTTAATTGATTGCACTTTCGAAAAAAAATAACAATAAATTTTGTACATTTACCGCTATGAAGCCGTAGCATGTTGAAGTGGTTGTCTTTAAATTACGATATGAAAATATATGATTGTATGTAAAAGTACGTATACACAATTCATCGAGCTACAGCTATACAACAAGAGGATATAACAAATGGGTTGCTATTTTTTTCGAAAAGCACAATCAATTAGCTTCAAAATCATATAAGAGCTATTGTCATTTGCATAGCATACATGGGCAGGAGAGATTTTTGAAAAGAAAGACTATTCATATGTTTTACTAGTAAAGTTTCGTAAAATCTGGTGATTTATTGTAGGGCAGTGTACGTATAAGTACTTAGATACAGATAACGAAGCCACAATATATTACCCCTCTTCGTATATTCTCTATCTTATATTTTTGACTAAAATAATTAGCCGAGTCAAAATTTTAAGCTTTATTTGCTTCATTATAATTGTTGCCCATTGGCATTTCTAATATGTACTTTTACTTTCCTTATCGTTATTGTTATATAAACTTGTATAATTTTACATGTTCACATTTTCTGATTTTGCTGCAAATGCTTTATATAATATATAATGAAGTTTGTTATCAAAAAATTTTGTCATACTTTGTAGCCAGTTGTTTTAATAAAACAACTTTAGTATTCCTTAATCTGTAGGCCGAATTTGACAAATTTATGTTTAGTGGTTTGAGACTTTTTATTAACGGACAGTTTATAATTGCCGAGTCAACAATCGCGGGAGAGCAATCGATCGTCAACTCTATTAGCTAATTTTCACTGTGGCTTCTCCTACTTTAATTAAATTACGACGGCAGTTTAATGGCCTGTAAAACGGGCTTACTGCTTACGACCTGTGTCGATCGGTAGACACTAATCATAGACGGGTATTCACTCGACTATTCCCTTCCGATGGGATTGGTTCGGAAGCCTATAGGTTGGAATTTATTATTATCTAAATACATTTTTATTTAAACGAATAACAATCGTGATGCCACGAGAATATCCAGGGGACAAGAGGCGGATATTCCCAATCGATATAGATTAGCAGTTTTACAACTATATACCGATAAATTACCAGAGAACGAATAATGTATTTCAGAATATAATGAACTACGATATTTATACGACTTTATTGCCCAAGCTACGAAAACAGGCTTGCTAAAGCTAGTTTAACTTATCTAAAAGATAGAGGTGCAATAGGAAGTGGCTGGCAGGGATGTCTACATATAATTTAATTGGCAAATATGAGGGAGGTAATTATGATGGAAAGAGGGGAAGAGTGTAAACGTTTGTATTTAATGAGAGTATGATAGTGATTCATTTGTTGTTGGAAGAAGTTTATGTGAGAAAGTGTATGAAGTGTAATCTGTCCAGATAGTCCAAAGAGAGGCAGACATAAGAAGTCGAGCTGTGAAGTGGAATTTTTTGTGTGAAGATGAGTGAATAATAAATAAGAAAAAATAATTGCATATGCAAATAGTACGAGACCATATAAGCTCTGCATGAGGACAAGAATGAAAGAGATGTTTAATAGTGAGTGGAGATGAGGATGAAGGGCAAAGGAGAAATGCGAGATACAACCCAACCAATAGTAATAGGGAGATTTGATGTGAGATTTTCCAGAGAACAGAGACTATTGATGGTGATGGTGTCATTATATTTCGCGTAACTATGGTAAATCCCACCAAAAGTGTGAATCACGTGTCGTTACCAACTATTTTATTATTACGATTGGCGAGAATGTCCTTTAGAATTGTCACACCAGTAATTTTAGTTATAGTAGAAGCATAATAATATACTGTATAGCTCTTGCCTTGCGATGTATAAACAACAAAATCAAGATCCTCACTTAGATGAATCTCAAAGTTAGTAATTGTTCTATTAAGATGAATTGGTCAATAGTACACGCAATTTTCAATATATAAACTCGCAATTTTGGTTCAGTTTTAAAGCATTACCAGTTGGATGTGCTTGATCCAGTCGTGTGGACCGAAGAACCTGATAATCGGCTCTCGCGACGTTTCTCCATTATCGACGGTCAACTGTACTCTAACAATAATCTCGTAGATGAGAGACAGAGCTTTAACGATAGTGATCCATTGGGTCTTAAACCAAGTATATTCAAGTGAGTGATAATTACTGTGATATGAATTGTTGAATTGTTGAATTGGCGTTGATTTATGTAATATTTCTGTCTGTTAGCAATAATGAACATATCCAACACGTAGCTCAAGGAGATTATGAATTCTTTAAAGAGCGTATGTCCATGTGTCTACATGTCTATACCATATTATCATCGTCTCTCATAACATAGCTTCTGTTTACTTTGATGCAGAATCTCAACTATTCGTCAGTTCAAAATCGTTTAATTCAAAAGTGTTTTTAAAAGCGGTTCATCTTGACACATCATATGGAGACTTGTTGGTGGGGGCTCAGAAACTTAGATCCACACTTGATCAAAAAGCAGAAGCATTAAAGAAATTAGTGCATGACAATTTTGATGGATTTGTCTCGGCAAAAAATACAATCGATACTGTATACAATGAAATGAAAGCGAAAAGTTTGAACGAACAAGAAGACTATGGAATCAGAGCTTTAGATGTTGCGCTGACAGGTCAGTTGGAATGAGAAAATTTGGTCGAACCAATACGAATCACTTGCTCGCAAATGTGCATCTCTTATTTTGACGCTCACACTCTGTCTCATTTACGACTGACAGAGGCAGCCGCTAAGGCCGAACAAGTTTTTGGTCCGGTGCTGGCTAATCGAACTAAAGCAGAGAAGATACGCAGTACTTTAAGTGTACTGGAGAAGTTTAAATTCTTTTTTAGTCTCCCAAGTACTCTAATGGATTCTCTCAAACACGTACGATAATTAAACGTTATTTCTGTATGAATGTTACGCACATTTTGACTTAACTGAATCTCTCGTATTAGCAAAATTATGAAATGGTCATAAGGGATTATAAGAAAGGTAGAGTGGTTATGGAATCAACGCTAAGTCCGGAATCTTCCGATTCCGCGAATGGAATGACAGAGAGAGAGACAACAGAGGATACAGCCTTAGCAGCGCAGTATAGAAAAGTATTCGAGAAAGTATGGGCTGAGGTGGAACGAATTATGGCAGAAATGAAGGAACAGTTACTTAAGCAATTAACTGAACCTTGGAGACCATTGGACGATCAAGAGAGAACAATAAAGTACGTAGACTGTATAGTGAGAGGGTCAGAGGCAGGTTTATAAACAGAATCTGTACATTTACTAAAGCAAAATATTTACCTTCTGTATAGCATATTGTTGGAGTTGGATATTCCCGATGATCCAGTATGGCATTATCTTGATAGTCAATATAATTATATTACTAATTTGTTCAAGGAGACATACAAGGAGCAAGTTGCTAAAATAGAAGGTGAATAATCTCTTCTCGTTAAGTGTCGAAAGATGTTTTACGGCACAGCGAACTTTTCTGACAATTTCTGTAATTTGTAGCATTAAAAAAGTCGGTGATAACAAATGATGTTGATGAACGACAAGTGGCAAAAAATCTTAAGGACACCATTAAGATTATTAGCACACGCAATTTCGATGCACTAACAGGTAGATACACAATGGGATCTGTACCATATATTACATAAACCATGTATACTTATATCACATTTCATAACAGCCCGCAAGTCAATGGACGTGCAAATATGGCAAGCAACCCTCGTAATAGTCAAAACACTTTCCGATCTACTTCTTCGATGCCTTCCCGACTTTTGGAAATTAAGTAAATCGTTTGCCGAGGGCAAATTCCAAAAAAACCAGACAGTTTTATCAACCAACCGTCGTCGCCGCCAGGCAATGGACTTGGATAAAGTGAAAGAAGCGCAGAAAATGGCGAAAGGTGTTATCGACCTCTACGCACTATTATTGTCTGATTTCTTTAATCTTTCTTCACCGTTCGAAGAACAAAACGCCAGTTCGGAATCACTCCAATCACCATCGTTGAGATCTTCAAAGGTTTATAAGAATACATTTGTTCCGCCCCATTCCGACTCGGTCGCCGCTTGCTTTTTTTTGACGAAAATTGTAATGGAGATGTGTGAGTGTGTGAATGATATCAATGCCATTAATGTCGCTGCTGAGGCTTCTGTTGCCTTGTCAACGCTTATGGAACAAACACGGTGGCGATTTGTAGAAGTATTATGCGATACATGGATTACGGGTATATAATTGATATTTGTATACTGTGGGACCGTCTGGTGCTCAACATAATTGGATATGATAATTGTTTCTTACATACTTTATTTTGGGTAGATGCAAAGAACTTTTATTTGTTGGAAGACTGGACATTGGACCCAGATAATCGAGAAATTACTACGATTCTGAGGACCTTTCACACATTCCACAAATATAATTCACGATGCGCATTCAAGATAGCAAGCTTGGGATTTGTATCGGACACCGATGAGACCAAAGGGGTTTGTAGATATAATAACAACAGTAAAAAATGCCGTGCCACAAATCTCTGTTTGATAACATTCTTATAATTTCCTAGGGTTCACCAAGCATTCCGCCAGAATATCTTGAGAAAATCAAGGGCGCATTCTTTAAATCGATCGAAGCATATCTTGACCGTTTGCCAGATCTTGCTTCTGATTCATCTGTGGAACGTGTGGATAACAAAACGACCGAGTCAATATTCAGACCTCGAATAGACCCAACTGACACGGTAAGCTGATGACAAGGAAGCTATCCTTATTTGAAATTCGTAGCAAATATTCATTCAATTACTTCCTGATTTTCCATTTAGGAAGCAACTCTATTACTGACCGTCAGCAACTTGGCCAATCTTAAACAATATATGATTCCCAGACTTGTTTCTCAGTTTGAGAATGCTTACAGATGCAAAATGGCTGCTGAAGTTTCTGTGAGTATATCGGAAAACATTGTCTGCATGATGCGTACAGTGAAAATCTTACTTTTGTTTTGTTCAATTGCAAATTAGAGTCTAAACGAGTATGTGGATCAACTTGACGATATATTTTTTGCGGATTACATGGATCGTAAGAAAAAGGCGGTTTCTGACATTATCAGGGAAGGTATCCTCAACAGTGGCATTGATTGGTACAAGATCGCCAAACCTACTGGTAAGAGTGAAAAAATGACGATATTATTAGAATATGCAGACTTGCGATGTCGATGCTTTAAATTTAATGCATACGACAATCATATTTATTTTCAGAGGTCCATGCTTTTGTCTATGAAGCTCTCTTGACTTTGGTAATGGTCCACTCGCAGATTAGTGATATCTCCAAGCTACTGGTCAATCGTGCCTTATCCGATCTATTAGATGGTATGGTACAGGATTGTTATGATGCCTTTGGACAAGTCGAAAGATTCGGAATGGGTGGAATGTTGCAGGTGAGAACTTGACTGAAATAGTCAACAATTTTCGCTCGCTTGCCCGATTGGCGTGTCTGTCCACTGATCTGTTTATTTTCCATCGTTAGGCCGTACTTGATATTAAAGTAATGGATCAAATACTCACCCAATATGCCACTCCAAAGGCGCAAGAGATATTTACGAATATATATAAGAAAATAGAAGAGCTGTATGATCCATCTCAGAGAGCTGGTAATTTAGAGGCAGAGTTGAACAGCGTCAGAGGGTTGTTAGTGAATAGTTTACAGAATACGGGTCTGCAATTTCTTTGTTTCAAGAAGTCCAAATAGATTATAGTAGACGTAAGAATAGACAGCTAGATGCTAAATTAAGTTAACCGCCATCGAGGTAATCCTAATTTTTTTGACCATAATATACTGTATATTATAAATTAATCGATTGATGGGCAATATTTGAGACGCTTAGTCAGTTTCATAGACAGTATATTTGGCTCGCTATAATAATAATAAATTACACGTGCGCGTGTATATTATAACATTTTAAACTGCGATAATGTGAATTTAAACTTTGACCATAATAATAATTGAATATCGAATCCTCAATTTCCACGCCAGTCCGATTAATTTATTCCAAAGATATGTAGGAGTTATGTTCTTAGTAACAATTGAAGGTAGAGGCAATGACTACCTACAGTATATAGCCAATGTTAGTTACCGATCTGTTATAGTTATCGTTTTAACGTCTGTAGTTGTCATTTCACAATCAAATATCGATGTCTTCCTTTTTTTATGGGTACCCCATTACTATACCAGATTTGGTAACGTTTCGAGATACTAAATTTAGTAGGGGAGATAGCTTAGCACTCGGGGAGGTAATTACTTAGTATTAGAGACAGAAGTCAGCCGTGGCTGGACCGGCCCGGTTGACGTGGTCAGCTTGGCCGGCTGAAATGGTTTATGGTTGACCAGGCTTTACTACATAAGGTATACTCAGCTGGTCGACTAAGCTGATAAATTTTTACTAAATAAGGTATGTATGGCTGGCCGACTAGGTTAATAAAATTTATACTATATAGTGTGCAAAATGCTTACGACCAAGTCGCCAGGCCGATAAGATCCTTCTTCAATAGGCAAATATTGCTACATATGCCGAACAAGTCAGTTTATGAGAATTACACGGTTAACTAAATACGACTATGTCAAGCCGACGGAAAAGCAAACTAATAACATTCTTATTATCTCAAACACGCTTGTTTAGACGCTAAGGAATTGGCGTGATAATTTTTTTCCTTGTTTTTACCATCTGTCAGATGGACTACTGATATTGCTCAAAAGCACTATTTCAACGAAGAGTTGATATGAATTAATAAGATATATGCACATATGTTACTGAGGTAAATTTACTAAAATTGGAACGACTGACTGAGCCAATAAATTTTTGTCAGCCTTCATCATTACACACGGATGTATATTAGTGTTAAAGTTTCTCCGTAACGTAATTGTACTTGAAAACTTCTTATTCAAACGATGTCATTAGTTCCAGGGGTTAATAATCCAGCAATTGACAACTTGGTTCTGGATAAATATTTAAGACTTGAATGGATTCCTTACGAAGAAATCACTGACATAAAGCCAACTCAAATTGGCAACGTCTATTGTGCTAGTCGCAATGATTACATGATAATGCTGTTACGCCTTGGAGAATGTACACGAACACTTGTTAGTGAGTTTGCTAGAATATACTCACTTCCAACATACAAGTGCAATAATAATAGCGACAACTTTAGAAGATATTCCATTTGGCTTAGGGAGCGCAACAAACTCATAAAAGGATTTACCAAGTCTAATGACAACTATTACATGGTTGCCGATAAACGCTTTTACGATTGTTACTCTCGATATGGATTCTGCTCCGTATGTGGAATACTCCGATGTAGTCCCGTGTGGTGCATTTGCGGGCATAAACAATTATCCGATGGATGGACTAGCAA